ACATAATTGCTAATACAAGGTTTTTAAAATATAGCACATCACCTCTCACACACTACTGTTACATAATTTAAATATCAAAGCCCTGCCTGAATAAAAAGTCCTTCACCTGCTGGTGGAAAGATAGCAGAGAGGGGGGCAGCAAGACTTCTTGTGGAAGGGACTTCTACAGCCTGGGAGCAGCCATGGAGAAAGCTCTTTCCTATATCATCATCAAATATACATGTGAAGGTGGTGAGACTGAGAGAAAGCCTTGCCTTGCAGATATTAAAGCTTGAGCTATCTTATTTAGGGAGATAGTCTGGACCCAAGTTATGTAGAGCTTTAAAGGTAAAAACCAGGACACTCAGTTGTGCTTGGAAACAGAATGGCAGGCAGTGAAGTGAAGGATATAAGACATTAGAGAGACAGTATGCATATAGATAGAATACTGCCATTGTTATGGTTAGCTCAGAATTGACATGATTGGCTTAGGCCCTATCAGTGTATATGTGAAATACGGCTGTCCCTCTGGATTCGTGGACTTGCCATTCGTGGGTTTGATTACTCGTGAATGACGAGCCTGCGGCACCACCCCCCTCCTCTCCTTCTTTCTGTGCCAGCCTTTCTTTGGCTGTGCTGGCCTTTCCTCGGCCACTTGGCTTTGCAACAGCTGGCGGCGCAGCCTTGCCTGGGCCCCAGAAGCTTGAGGTGGCTAGCGCAACCTTGCCCGGGCCCTGGAGTCCTTGAGGCAGTCGCGTTGGCCTTGTCTGGGCCTCGGAAGTTTGAGGCAGCTGGCACAGCCTTGTTTGAGTCCCGGAAGCCTTGAGGCAGTTGATCCAGCCTTGCATGGGCCCGAGAGAATTAAGGCAGCTGGTGCAGCCTTGCCTAGGCCTTGGAAGATCAAGGTGGCTGGCACAGCCATTTCTCCGCCACGCCAACCCTCCCGCAGGAGGTGGGGGAAGGGAGAGGGAGGAAGGGAAAAATACTCAAGTCCCATTGTCCTCAATGGCACTGCCAAATCTGACAATGGGACTTGAATATTCACAAAATTTTGAATTTGCGGGGGAGGGGGGTCCAGAACGGATCCCCCACAAATTCGGAGGGATGACTGTACATGCAAGGAAGGCAATGAAAATGATCAATGGGGTGAAGCAATTCCATTATGGGGAAAAGTCACACTCTTTAAGGCTTTTTAGCTTAGGAAAAACATTTAAGTTAAAGGACAGAAAGTAAAACTGTGTGTGGTTTAGAGAAAATAGATGTGGGGGGAAAAATCTGCCTCCTCTCAGGATACTAGAACCTCTAGACATTGAATGAAGCTGAATGATGGAAGATTCAAGACTTTCAAAAGCAAATACTTATTTGCAAAGCATATAGTTAAACTGTAGAGTTTGCTATCATAGATGGTCACCAACTTGGACAGCTTTAAAGACAGGCTAAACAAGCAAATGGAAAAAAATGAATCACCTGGAACAGATGACATACTACTAGAACTCCTAGAAACCAGAGAGAGAGAATGAAGCTTAGTTTTAAGTAAAATCTGCCAATAAATATGAAAAACAAAGCAGTGACCCACAGCCTGGAAGCAATCAATATATATTCTCACCCATAAGAAAGGAGACTTAAAGGATTGCAGTAATTACAGAAACATTGCATTAATTTCCCATGCAAGCAAAGTCATGCTCAAAATTCTGCAGCAAAGACCTCTAACATATAAGGAGTGTGAAATTCCAGAGGTGCAAGCTGGATTCAAGAAAGGAAGAAGTACTAGTGATCACACTGCAAACATGCATTGGATAATGGAGCACACCAGGGAATTCCATAAGAAAATCTGACTACAGCAAAGCCTTTGACTGCATAGATCACAAAAAGCTATGGTTTGTGCTTAGTAGAATGAGAGTACCACAATATCTGATTGTCTTGATACATAACCTGTTGCCGTCAGAAACAGTATACGGTGAAACCAAATGGTTCTTAATTGGTAATGAGGTCAAGCAAGGCTGCATACTATCATCCTATTCAACCTGTATGCAGAAAATATTGCATACAGAACAGGCTTAGACTCAGGAGGAAGGGTGAAGATAAGAGGAAGGAACATTAGTAACCTAAGATACACAGATGACACGATACTACTACCAGAAATGACAAAGACCTGGAACTATTACTGAAGATAGTCAAGGAGGAAAGTGCCAGGTTTGGATTAATGATGAACATAAAAAAACAAAAATAATGACCATGGAATTCTACAAGAATTCACATCTTGGTTCAAATATGGATCAGAATGGAGACTGCAGCCAAAAAAATCAAAGAACAGTAGGAATGGGAATGGCAGCTATGAAAGAACTGGATAAGATTACAAAATGTACAGACATAATTCTGAACACTAAAGTGAGGCTAGTCCAAACCATTGTATTCTTCATCACCATATGCAAATGTAAGAAATGGACAATGAAAAAAACTGATAAGATAAAAAAAATCATTTGACATGTGATGCTGAAGAAGAGTGCTGAGCATATCATGGATGGCCAAGAAGATAAAGAAATGAATTATAGAACTGATCAGGCCTGAGCTCTCTTTGGAAGCCAGGATGGCTAAATTGAGGCTGTTGTACTTTGGCCACACCATGAGAAAAAAATTCATTGGAAAAGACAATCATTCTAAGGACGTTATCACACGGGGCAAATCTGCTGGTTAATCCACACAAATCCCAAACAAAAACTGGATTTCTGCCTCGCGTTTTCACACGACATTGCACAGAAACTGGACAGAAACTGGACAGAAACTGGTGTTATCTGAGATCTTTTGAAATTTGGTTGTTTGGAGAAAATGCAAATGTGAAATTAAGGTAATTTCGCATTTACCGTAATGTGAAAAGCAAATGCGCATTTGGGAGCATTTCCCTGCTTTTCCCATGGTTCCAGCGAGCATTCCTCTATCTGCACATGTGCAAGAAGCTCATTTCTAGTACATTTACAGGCTTTTCTCACTTGTGTGTGAACGTTAAATGCGCTTACTGTAATTTCACAATTAAGGTAATTACATGTGAAAGCCATTTGCGGAATCAAGGTTTATTTTCCGTTTATTTTCAGAATGCCTCATTTCCACTTTATTATCGCTTTCTGGCCCACATGTGATAACGTCCTAAGAAAGGTGGAGGGCAGTAGAAAGAGAGGAACAGCACATGCTAGAATGTTGGACTCGATCAGGGAGGACACAGGCCTGGGCTTGCAAGACCTGAGTGGAGAGGTTGAGGACAGAGGGCATAGAGATGTCTTATGAGTCATGAGTCAAAGTCAATTCAAGGGCAGTTAACAACAAGACAAGGTAATAGCTATCAATGGCTATTGCTACTTAAGGGGTCTAAATATCTGCACAAACTCCAACATCAAGCTGAACATATATCTCTGAACACCAGTTGACAAGAGAGTGCTGTGGCTAATCACTGTGGGAACAGAAATTAAATGAGATAGGCCTCTGGACTGATTTGATTTCCTTACTTCAGCATTGTATGTATATTTCTGCTGGCTTAGGCGCCCACATTAAAATAATTGATGACTTTTAGAAATACATGATGAAACATAAAAGAGGCTTTAATCAAACCTCCATGCCTCACTTTTGGTGCGTCACGATTTTTGTTAAAACATATCCTCCCTGTAACTTTATAAAAATATTAGCTAAAAGGCCATCGTCACAGCAGGTTAGTTCTGTCTCCCCTGCAATCCAAATATTGAACATGGGTGGTTGTGGAGATGCTATGCAACACAGGATTGGAGACCAATCTACTCTCTTTATTTAGACAAATAGCCACAAAAAGATATAGGGGCCCATCAGAAAAGGCAGGGGGCTCCCCCATTTAGTTTGAACACTGGTATTGACATTCGTTCTTAAATGGATTATTCTGTGAATTTAAATACAGACCAGGCTGAATCAATAATTACAATAAGATAGCTGGCTAAATAAATGTGGTAAATGTGACTATACACACACACACACACACACACACACACACCATTTATTTATTTATTTATATCCTGCCTTTCTCTCAGTATAGGGGGCTCAGGCTAGATTTGTGTAGTGAAAAAAACATCAATATAAACAAAATTAAATTGCCACTTTATTTGTTGTGGTATCGCATGAAAACAGCTGTTTACCAATTTTATGGGGTATATTTGGGATAGTTTAATTTAAACTATAGACTAGGGGCTAGTTCAACTATTTCACTTGAGAGATCCACTATTCCTTGTATTTCCCCTTATCATTATTGTCATCAACAATACATGGAAAAAGCAAAGGACAAATACGAGTGCACTATGGCAGTGGCTACTGAAACAAAGATAATGACCATAGATTATTTACATAACTTTAAAGTAGAGGATGAAGACATTTAAATAGTTAAAGATTCTTCATACCTTGGCTCAGTCATTAATCAAAATGGAGACTGCAGCCAAGTAATCAGAAGGCTAGAACTTAGAAGGGCAGCTATGAAGAAACTAGACAAGATTCTCAAGTGTATGCATACATGAGCATGCCATGTATTTCCAACTTCGATGTATGGTTGTGATAGCTGAACAGTAAAATAATAAAAAAAACTGATAAGAGAATAATCTAATTTGAAATGTGGTGCTGGCAGAGTTCTGCAGATAGTGTGGATTGCCAAAACGACAAATGAATGCGTCCTATAGCAAATAAAACCTGAATTATTTATAAAAGCCAAGATGTGTCAGCTGAGACTAACATACTTTGGACATAGTAGGCAACTCATTAGAAAAGACAAAAATACTTAGCAAGGTAGTTTCTTCTCCCCCTCCCTCCCCCAGCAGCCCATGCTTTTCTCTTTCCCTTGGATAGACTGAATCAAGGAAGCCTGTTTGCAAAACCTGAGCAGGGGTACTGATGACAGGGCGACTGGAAGGTCTCACATTCATAGGGGCACTATAAATCAGTTGACTGGACAGTAGCTGACAACAGACAGTGTGGTACAGTGATATGAGTAAGACTGAGATATAAGGAGACCAGAGTTTGCCTGTGTGGTGTAGTGGTCTGAGCACTGGACTCTGACTCTGGAGACCAAGGTCCAAATTCCAGCTCAGCCATGGAAACCTACAGCCATCCTCTGCGGCTGAGAAAATGTGACTTGCTCAATGTCACATTATCACACGGGGAGTTG